GAGAGAGAGAGAGAGAGAGAGAGAGAGAAAGAGAGAGAGAGGGGGAGCTTAGAGAGGTGGGAAGATTTTGTTGTGCCACAGGCCAAGTTTACCACATTTTGACTGGTGCTATCCCTACCATCCATTTAAATTGGCCGTCTGGGAAACGCCGGTTACAGATCCACAAAGGAAGGATGCTCAAGGATAGAGCGAACAAACGGAATCAAAATCCTCTTTTAATAGGTTACAGTGAATCACAACAACCTAGAAAAACAGGTTGATCTGACAAAAAATCCAAAAACTTTAAACCAAAACTCCAAAACAAGTGCTAATCGATTGCTATCGCTGCTGCTTCTTTGGCTAAGACGTCAGCTTCTTGTTTTCCTTCCCTCCAAGAAGCATCCACATGATGGACATATTCCTGCTAAGGAATTCAATCTCGTCAAACAAGTGTGCGAACTGCCAAGGAGAAGAGGAGGAGGGGAGATTCTGCCCCCAAGAAACAGTATTCTTGGAGTCTCCCTCGATGATGAGGGAGTGCAGTTGGAGTGGGATTGCAAGTTGAGGCGTTCCAAGAGTCTTCCTATATTTTAGAGGGTGGTGCATATGTGGGTCGCTTTGTAGCACCTAAGGATGATGACACATAGCACTTTTTTCTTTCTTTGTAAATGTTCGCCTGTAATCATGACATAGCACCTATTCAGTAGTTGAGCTTAATATGAAAATATTTAGTACAAGTCTTTAGATTTGTGTTTTTATAAGTTTGAGAATAAGATATATTTTGGCTTCCTTATTTATATAGGGCTTATCTCTTTCCCAAAATATATTTTTACTAAATCGAGAGAAAGTCTTCCTTCTCTTCATAATTAGTGGATGAGTTTTTATCTCTCTGTTAAGTAATATATGAGTTCTTCATGTTAATCTCTTTCCTTGATTTCATTAAAAACTTTAATCTAATTAGAAATGACTCTTTTCTTTTCCATGTCTCATCTGTTCCTCCTTATATTAATGTTGGATTTGTTATATTCAAACTTTGAAATCACGGGTGTCTTGTTCCTGCTAATCCTCACCCTGTTGTCGCAGCATTGTGGATGCATGGGTGTTGTATGGTTGCTCCTAAGTTTAGCTCAATTCCACAGAGGCATGCTGAAAACACATAGGTGTGGCCACTATTTCAGGTCACTTTTGTGCACTTAAAACTCAAGTTTCGGAAAGATGCAATTCAAAAGTGAAGAATGAAATGAATACCCCTTAACAAAAAAAAGAAAGAGAAGATGACTTTGTAATCTATACTTAAATATCTGCTCTCTGGAAGTGAAGAGATCATGGCATCATGTTTCATGTTCCCCCATTGCTTAGTAATACAACATAGGCTCACTAATGGAGATTCCTCAGGATTTTGGTTTTAAAAACCATGCATTGTTCATAAATATAAGTTCTGTAGGTTTAGGTTGTGTGGTGATTTGGTTCTTATATGGAAATATTAACACATCATGAAGTTTGCGCGGTATGGTGATTTGGTTCGTTATATGGATATATTAACACTTCATGAAGTCTGTCTCTATGATATTTACCTCTTTAACCAGAGTGGTTATTCTCTCTAGATCCGAGTCCATGCCAAGTACATAGGGAACCCTCTATTGGGTGATGAAGTTTATGGAGGAACCAAAAGCATGGCACTTTCAAGACTTCGGCCCAGAACTCCATCACATTATCATGGCCCTCTATCTCAGCTTGTCTCCAATCTGCAAAGGCCCTGCCTCCATGCTTTTTCTCTTGGGTAATTAGATATTTCTCTACAGTTTTACGCACGGTTGCTCATTTTTCACATATTGGTTCACTTCTTTTGCCTATTCTTTTACAGGTTTAAACACCCTCATAGCAAAGAAAATGTCCTGTTTACATGCCCACCGCCTCCTGACTTCGCCGAAGTCTTACGCCAGCTACAAAGCATCAGATCCAGCAATGTAATTTTTATATTTCCCATTTCACATAAACAGGAAACTATGGATATCTTTATACTTGCACTGGATTCTTGTTTGATGATTGCTGAATCTTTTTGGACTTCTGATAATTCCCTTATTTAATGTCCCAATGATGTTTTATTTCTATTTTAGGTTCGGTGACTCTTGTCTGGGAGGTGGGCTCAACCATGCATTATGGGTGAGTATATTTAGCTGTTGAGGGAAGATTCGATATGGACCAAGTGGTCCATGTGGTCCATGTTATGCATGTTGGCCAATCCTCCAAACAACATGTTAGAGGGTTTTTTAGGAAAATTTCAAGTACTTATTGACCTTGTAATGATTCAAAGGAAAAAAAAGGGTAGTGTCAATTAAAGTGTCAAATTACCTTACAAAATCATTAAGGGAATCAAATCATAACATTAGGAGTATCCCTTTTAAAAAGGTATAGTAAAAAATAGCACATAGTTCATTCTCAGGGGCATTTTAGTAATTTATTCCATTTAATTGGCCCAAGCCAAATGAAAAAAATCCCGTAGTTGTCCAAGTTAGCAACATGGAATTGTCAAATGATTACAGTACCATTGGTTGTTCAGGATTAGCAACACACAGCTCACTTTTTTCATTCCATGTTGCTTTTCATTTGTTTGGGCTACTAAAGTGGAATCTTCATACTTGTTTATGTTTCCCAATCCTGAATAAAGGCAATTTGGTTATTTTTTACTTATATTTTTTAAGAGGCACCTCAGTCAAATTTAAACTTTAAAAGTAATGCTCCTCATTTTAATAAGGATGATTTGCCACATTTAATAATTTTGTAAGGTAATTTGACCCTTTAATTGACAGTTTCCCAAAACAAATTGTATTTGAGCTCTTAAAAAACTTTGGATCTTATCGTAATGGATCGGTCCAGTGGTGTTGTTAGAATAGGATCTGATTTGGATCACATTTTGGTACTCCAATTGAATTTTTCTATATCAATCTTAGATATGAATAAATATATTTGGGGTTTTGAGGTCAAGCAAATTCCCCTAAATAATGTTCCAGGGATTGGTCAAGGTGTACTATGCGGATCACTTGGGCCATGTAGAGTTTTCCCTTAGTTTAAGGATTTCATGGAGATCTGGGTAAGTGGACTCTAATTATGCACCCAAATTGCTAAGTTTGGTTCTTTCCTTGCTTCTGCAGAATCATGGTGGCCTTGGTGATCAAACTGCTTCGCTGAGTTTGTTTCTTTGCTGAGACTATCCCCCTCTTCTCAACCCATTTCTCACTGTTTGTGTTCCCATGGTTGAACGGGGACTGATTATTGGCAGTGATATCTGTTTATTTCACAGAGTTGATTGTGTTTTCATACACTAGTGATTCTGTTTACTTACAACAGTGAGTCTCATCATTTTGTATTGCAGTGAACAACTACTTTTTATGTAATGAAGCTCGACATTGGAAGGCACTGCTAGTTTGCATCTATAGATCTCACCATTTATCTCCATTGTAATTGATTAAACAGAACTATTTTGTAAATGAATTAATTTATAAATGCTTCACCTCATGTGTTCTCTCTCTCTCTCAAGTTCCTAATTATATCTCAAGGTTGGATAGCCTCTCTCTCTCTCTCTCTCAAGCTCCTACTTATATCTCAAGGTTGGAAAGCAATTTAATTGTTGAGTGTGGACATGTTTTTACATGAGAATCTATGGACAACTTTTCTAAACAAGTATTTCTCTGGAAGTATAAGGGCTAGCAAAAAAATATGAGGGCTCAATTAGCATATCGTATATGAGAGGCAGGGATGTACTTATGCTATTCATAATCTTTAGTGACATCCCATTTGAAATTTGGAAATTTGAAAATTTATTAAATATTTGTAAGAGATGAACTTTTTAATATTTTGCTTATTTGCAACTATTCGAAGACCATGGCTTTTTCTATGGTTATTTCAAAATTCAATCAAAAGATACAGGTAAAGTGTTAAATTGCTTATAAGATCATTTGCCATACCTGCTAAATTTTAATGGCAGGATTGTGCTTCTCAATAATTAGAGTTTGTTGATAGCTTTCATGGTACATACCATTGAAATTTTGATGGTTTTGATTTTATTTCATCAAGTTATCAAAAGATATAGGTAAGATGTTAAATTGTCCATCTTTCATGAGTAATTTGATAAATTTCCCTTTCATCAATAATTTGATAACATGGTGGTCATCAAATACTTCGCGGTTGCTAATAAATTTATGCTGTTGACAATAAATGTTCGGATAAATAGTTCTAAGGTCAAGAAGGTTTATGGCAACTTCGCTCAGGCTTATGTTGCTCAAAGCTTGATGAAATTCATACATCTCTCAGTATTTTTTGGGCGTTTCTAGCGACTTTATCATTATACTTGTTACTTTATTATTGTACTCAATAATATGATAATGAAAATTGGAAAAAATTAAAAGTGGTCGAACCAATGAAAACTGAAAGAAAAGGTATTTGCTTGAATTATTTCCTAATGTAAATTGACAAAAAAATGTATTAACTGGTTCAATCACAAAAAGAAAAAAAGCAAAAATTATGGTTGAATTATTGAACAAAACGAATTATACCAAAAACGTTTATGAAAATGATTCACACTATCTTAATTCAAACCCAACAAAATTCATTACTATTGTCCCAGTTGGACCAATTTGTATCCTATCAATATCAGTTGTACTTTCTCCCACAGTTAGAATTTCCTTAAAGTCTGTTTTAAAAACAAAAAAATTCATTCCCATGGCTGAGAATTATTCTTTACTGTCGTGTACTTCTTTCTCCACCTTCTATAACCAGGTATACAAATTTTATAAATTTATTTAGCATTATTTGTGCTATTTATATCAAGTTATACTGAAAACTAATTATTCCCCACAATTAGAATCCTACCAAAGTCATTTCGAAAAATAAGAAAAGAGTCCTTCTCCTTCTCTAAATTTAATGTTATGAAAAGAGATCTAGATTACATATAATTACATATAAATTATGGAAGGGACAGCTTCCATATCTCGTGGAAGAGGGTCCGTAACATGCCCTCCGGAAATTCATGCATAAGTGTTATAATTTCACATAATGTGGCCTTTGGCCGGTGAACTTGGTATACATAACATGAGTAAAGAAGTTCAAATGTTCTGATTCTTATGGTGGCTGGTGATATTGGTATTCATAATACAAACATTTGATGGACGTACATAGATGTGAAAAGGCCAAAGTGGAATTTATCAAGGTGCACCTATCTAAGAAATGAACTATTTCATATTTTATCTGTTTTCTAACTATTTTATCTTCGGTCGTGTGTTTGTTTTTTGGAAAAGTACATAATGAGACCATTTACCTTTGGTATTAAGTGGTGACAATTAATCTTGACTACTGGATGTGAAAATGGGTGGCTGCATTTATTTTAGTGACTAAGCACAAAGTTCAAATGAAATTTTTTTGAATTTTATGATACCCAAGCTATCAGATTTCAAGTCCGATGGTTATATGTAATTGTACATCTTTATACCAAAAGTAAATGGTCTCATTGTATAAAATCCTTTGATTGTTTATAGGTTTTCTATATTAAATTAGAAAATAGGTAAAATGTTAAATAATTAATGTCTTTGGTTATTATGTTATTTTCCTATTTATAATTTTGTCATTTTCTTGGACATACATTTTCATGTTTTTCTAAATGTATATTTGGACTTACGTATTTTACTTTTTTATTCTTTATTTCTTCTATTCATTCCCTCTTGGACATACATTTTCATGCATTCCATGTTTTCCTAAATGTATATTTGGACTTACGTATTTTACTTTTTTTATTCTTTGTTTCTTCTCTTCATTCCCTCTTGTAAACACAATCTAGGAGAATTTTTAGGACCCGACCTTTTGAGATGTAAAGGAAGAATAAATAAATCAAGTGTATTGTGTATGTGACATCATAAGATTGAACAGAGAGTGTCCTATTTTTTTTTTTATGGTAGATCTACATGTTTAAGAACTCAAAAATCCAATTCTTTCATTTGAAAATAATCATCTAATTTTTTTATGGTAGATCTACTCTTTCTGGCTTTCTATGTATCTCTCTCCCTCTTTCTCTCTGGTTTCTTCTTAGATGCTATCCAAACAACAAACACCTAATGTCTAGGTCTCCAGGATATGCGTATTCTGGGAGAGTCATCTTCTCGAGAAAGGCATCTCGAGGTATCCAAACAGGCCCTTCAACAATGACTCACTGGAGCTTCAAACATTAGTGGAAGAGGGAAGAGCGGGAGAGAATGGGGGTACGATCTATTTTCATTTTATAAAAGTTTGGGCCGTTACCTAGGGAAACTTGGTGTTTAACCTAAAAAACGAAAAAAGGGGCAACTTAGTTCTGTCTTAAGGATCGTAGAGAGAGAATAGTTTTTAGGCTGAGCCATTCAGGTAAATCTACTGTGCTTGACAGAGAGGACACAATAGGCTCATTTCCAACCCTATTCTCTCTTGAACTCCTAATCGACTCCAATGTAAAAGAGAGCTTTAATTATATCAACAATAAAAAATTACCAATCTTACTAAATTTTAATGTTCTTTTTATGAAAGTTGACTAAAAAATTTAATTAATTGGAGTTAGCTGCATAAATTTTGATCTGCCTCATATTCATAGAAAGTTTTGACGAAATTTGATTGCCTACCTAATACAATCTACTTCCTTGAGAAGGTCATCACCCTTCATAAATAACAATTTAATAAGCAAATAAAGTGTAAAAAAGTCTCATCCTTGGACAAGCAGAGCGATATGCTTTTGGTGGTAGGTAAGCCTAATGGATCGCACTATCTTAAAGAGTCCTCTTTATATTGAACAAATAATTGAACAAATAAGGAAAAAGAAAGAAAGAAGGGAGGGCCTTCTAATGAGTTGGTGCTTAATCCCCCTTTTTTTAATTAACTTTCAAAGTTAAAAATTCAGTAAAAGGGGATTACTTTTGTAATTGTGTAGCAAGCTAAATCGATAAGAGTGAATGCCCAAAAATATTAGAAAAACCAAAACAATTGTTTGATGCTTATAACTTTAAGAGGTTGGTTTAAGTGTTGGACATGGTGTGTGGGGCAATCCTAAATGTCATTTGGTACCAATTAGCAGACCCATGAGTTAGAACTTGATGGAAATGCTTGAATAGTGGGTGGCAATACTAGTCCCCTATTTTTTAGGTATATGGGTGGAGCTAGGGGCCAATAAACCTGGACCCCACCCAGGACCCGACATCCGGACTTGAACCGATCTGTTGCCATCCCTAGGTGGAGCTACATCCTTTATTTAATTTTCTCAAAATTTATGGCAGTAATGGAACAAATTAGGGAAATTACCACTAATATATCTTAATTTTAAGAAAATCGTAAAAAAAACCCCAACTTCCCAAAACTTCGTCCATACCCTTTTTTTCAATTTTAAGATTTTTTAGACGAAAATACCCTTTACGGTAGTTTTTTTACCGTAATACATTATAAATGTATTATGGTAAAAAGACTACCGTAATAGTGTGAAGACACATTACAGTACTCGAAATACTGTAATGAATATTACGATAATTTAAATACTGTAAAAAACATTACGATACTTTAATTATTGTAAATCATAAATATATTATTTAAAATATTTTTAGCACCATAATACTTTAATTATGTATTACGGTAACTCCAAAACCAACAACTCAAAAAGTTTTTTAGGAGTAGAAATATGAGAGTATGCACCCCTTAATTCACAACTCTCGATTACTTTTGATTATTCACAACTCTCGATTATTTTTGATTGAGAAGCCACTTCCTGATCAGAGACCCCTCTTTCTGAATCCTTCTTGAGCTTTTTTGTGTTCGACTCTTCTTCCATGTAGAAAAGCTCCATTGCTTTTGTCTGAAAGGTTTTTCAATTTCCAATGAATCACAACTCTCCAACACCAAGAGCCCATGAATTTCTTCATGGTTAGAAACATATGTAGTTCCATCATCCATTTCGAAGCTTTCTATAACTTTAGATTGATAAGCAACTTCCAGAATATAGAAATTTTTTTTTGAATCCTTCACTAGCCCTTCCTGGTTAAAATCTTCTTCTTGGTAGAACAGTTCCACTCCTTCAGCACTCCTTGAAACTTGCCAAACCTCACGTACCAAGGTGAGGTCTTAAAACTCCCATCTTGTCTACTGCACCGCCAAATAGATGGAAAGGGCCTGCGACTGTGTCAACTGCTACTGAAATATAACTGCCCAACCGCCCGACTGCATACGTCTTTCGAAAACCTCAAAATCAGAAAAGCAACTGAATTACAGCAAAACCAGCGCCATTGTTACCTCAATCACTCCGAGACCATAAACCGAATCCAAAAGACTCAATTTCCAACCATTAGTATAGGCACTTTAGCATAATGCGGGATGAAAACCGAATCCAAAATACTCAATTTCCAGCCATTAATATAAGCACTTTAGCATAATGCGGGATGAAAGGAGTAGCCTTGATATTAGCTTTGGTTTGAAGCTTTTTAAAGCATTACGGTACTAAGAATGCCGTCAAGCATATATTTATA